GGCGGGCAGCCGCCTCCGTCCTGCTCCATAAAGCCCCGGCCTGAATTGCCAGGCGGGTGCCAACTCCGCCGCACGCCGTCCAAAAAAAGTTGCCTGACCCCTAATAGTGCCTAATTCATCCCTCCATTAGCCAGCAGTAAAGCGGCGCATCTCACCGAACGGGGAGGATTTGCATTTCCTACATCGGTTACAGCCACCGCGAGGTCCTGCCGCTTGGGAAAAAAGAAACAAAAAAAAAGGAAAAAAAGGGATTATTAAAAATATTTGTCCCCCGTTCCCTAGAAGCTCCATGTAATGGCTTTTTCATTTTGAGCAATGGGTTCACACACCGCTTCTCAAACAATCTGTCCCGCTCTGGTTTTGCTTAACGCTCGGCAGCGATTGTGTTACAGTTGCTCTCCGGGCGGTTCTCTTTTCCCCCCCCACCCTGCTGCAGGATGTACCCGTAAAACACAAAATGCATTTATTCACGATTTTCTAAATTGTTTCATTTCAGAGGTTTACAAACGAGGACCACCTGGCGGTTCATAAACACAAGCATGAGATGACATTGAAATTCGGCCCTGCTCGAACTGACTCAGTCATCATAGCAGGTATGTGGCGTTCAATCCAGGCCAGCTCTGAAAATGGTGCACATTAATATAGCATGACTGCAAGATTAATACCAGGGACCAGATGCACTGAAAAACGTCTCTACCTCCCATAAAAAGCTCTTGTGATCTGCATTTAATCAGGAGGAAAGGAAAGCCAGAGGCTTCCAAGTTTCTTTTTTTTTTTCTTTTTTTTATGGTAGTATCAGGTTTTGTGGTGTGGGTTTTTTTTTTCTTGGGGTTTTTTTTTTTTTTTTAGCTCTCACCCTTTTTTATTAAGACTGGAAGATTTATGGACAAAAGGTCTTTCACGTTTCTGCATGTGCTTTGAGGACGATGAACAAAATCTGACAAACCCAGCTTCCTCTCCTCAGCCCAGGTGTCAATTTTCTTGAGCTTTTAGGCTAGCAGTTAATAAATTAAAACGCCATCGAGTGCACTGGCTA